CCATATTTCTATACAGTGATTTAATCTCAATACAAAACTCTTTTCTATATCAAGATTAAATTGCATGAATTACACCAATATTATTATATATGAAATATAATTTCAACCTAAACGATCTCAGCAGCGTGCCTCCAATATGTGGGGATATTTATGGGATAATAATAGTAACAGTTGAGAATTGCCCACTAATTCAATTCTCAGATCCCAAATATCGTTATCGTGTTAAGTGAGAAGTATCTCATATAAATAATATCACAATGTTATAAAAATAGATTTTATTTATAATAACAAGTTAATTAATAATAATAATATGTAACATGCGTGACAATAATCAATGAATATCCAGTATAAAATGGTATGCAATACAAAGAAATGGCTACACACGTCTCAACGGCTAATCAGCATTTTCTGTCAAGTCTTCTGATTTATGAGGTATCTTTAACACAGACTGAAAGTGAAACTTTTCACAGCGAAGGGCCATAAAACCCTGGCTAACAGTTAGAATAACCCTTTCAATGCTGGCTAGATCTCCTAGGTAAATAAGATCTATTCTTATGTAATTTTAAATAAAATAACATTTAAACCAGTTCATTAGTCATTTCCTGGAACCATCCAATAAGAAAATCTACCATGTTATATAAGCAGATTTTAATTTGTCTAAAAGATATCTTATCTTAATTTAGAGCAAATCAATACACCTGGATAAAAACAACGGTATGCTACCACGTGATATCACATCAATATATAATTATTCTTAATTCCACCTGCAGAATGGAATGTTTATAACTATATATTCTTTAGTTAACTAAGATTTCTTAATATGGAAATCTGACCGTGCTTTATCCTAGTCATATATTATGCTATTAATACATTTTAATTAATTTAATTAATTAAATGAAACCAGTATAATTACCAGTTGAGTAGATATTTCATCCGATTGGTAGATAGTCTCAGGAACTTATTTGGATGTCTGTAGGTGCATGAGTTATGGTGAAAGGTGGTGTTGGTTAGAAAGTCAGTAAAATTCTAAGTGTTAGAGTTTTAAGAGTAGAGTGTTAGTCTCAGATGTTGTGAGTTGGAGTCCCCAAACTTCCAATTCCTGTCTCCTCTTTTTCTTTCTCTTTTGCCTTTTGCCTTTTTCTGTCTTCCCTTTGTCCTAACTTTTAAAGGGCCAGACTCTCTGTACGTCATCAGTTGATAACCCAATAGAAGCACTAGAGGTGTGGTTATCTTCCAGATCGCAATTTAGGTATTTGGTCTATAGAGGGCAGTCTTGTCCCACTAAACATACCTATCCAGGAAAGAGTTAACTTTTCCTGGTGGCTATTTTGACGTCATTTTGATTATCTCAAATGACCACTATAACTTACGTATCCTTTCAGATCAAAGGGTTTCTTTAAGTTTTTTCCAGACTATGTGTCTGGCAAATCTGAGTTTTGACTCATAACTTACAATGGTACCTTACACATATAGACAGTAAAATGTTATTATTTAATCTTCTCTGTCACAATTGTCTGGTTTAGAATTGATTATATTCTTCTTATCACTTGGTTTGTATATACTATGCATTCCTTTAGCTCTGGCAAAGTGGTTAGTTTTACAGAAAGAAGTCTTCTGTCTTTTTGTTAGCTTGAAAATAACAAAATGGAGTCTGGTCTGTTCAGAATGACTCAGAATATACACTTTTAATTTCTATCATAGCACAAGATGTCTGCCGATATAAATACCCTGACAGGGTGTTACATATGATGTGGAGGGTATTGGTAGTTCTTGTACGTTTGTGGTCAGAAACTGGTATAACATTGAATGTAACTTACGGATTTGGCTTGTTGAACAGCTCGCGTATGATTACATGCTAGTGTACCTGTCTGGGTAGGTATTGCAGGTTGATAGTAGTTCGAACTGGAATGAAATCATATAGACATTCCTGAATTCTTTACCGGGGTAAGCCTACTACCCTTTGTACTGATGTTAACCCCCGTAAAAACGTTTTGTTTAAAATACATTTTATGGGCTGGGTCCATGCTTATTGAGTATTCGCTTTTATTGTAGCTCCCATACCCCAGTCCACCACCTCATTTGGAATCACGCAATTTCATTAACGTACCGTGTATACTGAATTATCATCAAATGTGACTGGTGAGCAAGAGAGTATAGATCTGAAATCTGAACGGACATGAAGTGACATATGCACACGTACATGGGTATTCAGGAGAAGATTCGGACTGATTGATCATGTAGAATTTGACTATTTGATTTTCTGTGTGAACCGAGAAAACATATTAATTAATGTGAATCAACAGAATTATACATCAATTAAATATATAAATATATCATGTTATAGAAATAACTTCTAGATTCCCCAGTGAAGCAATTGATCATGATAATTTATGTAGTGAAAAAGGTCAGGTTTTATTTGTAGTTAGCCATTTCTGACGGTAGATGGCGGTGTTGGTAGCCAACACAGCGTAGAGCTTGAACCGAAGTGAAGGTAGCTGTGCAAAGTTTACTATGAGAATTACCGTGTGTTAGGAATTAGTGAATCATTTTACCACGTTTGTGCCTGTTTCGTATGAGTGGGGTTATACCTGTTCATGCGTGCTCCCTTGTACTCACTGTTGCCGGGTGTTGTCAGCTGACCCGGAATTTCGGGAAAGTGCCCCGGGAGTTGTGTTGCTGGAGCCGAACTCGTTCGAGAGGTTGAGGCTGGGGGTGGAAAAAACTTACCCAACCAGCAAATGATAACACAACAGAGAATGAACTCCTTCCAGGTACTTGTATTATTGCCCAGACTCTTAGCACTTTCAGGAAATGAGAGCAAACTGACGGCATCCACTTGTCTCATAAAGGTAAAAGTAATATAAACTCAGCAACTTTATTCTATGAGGCAAATTGGCTTGGTAACCATGAATAGAATGACTGTTAACTAATTTTTCCAGGCTTAAACCTTAATTTGTTATCCCTGAATACTACAAAACATAACTACAGTAGTTATAAAACATAGCTGTATACGACAATGCTCATTGAGCTTGTACCGTCTCATTAGTGTTCAGGGCCTTACAAGACCGGTTATTGAAAACAAGTGAAAAAATTCTATTAGGCATGTGTGAAAACGGCTAATGCGCGCATGCGTCAAAAAGCCTAACTTGCACATGCGCAAAAAAAAACGGTGTTGCGCATGCGCTGTTGCAAGCTTCAAACGCAGAGACTCGGTAATGCTGGGGAAAAAAAACCCTTCACAGCACTTCTGCACTCAGTATCCGTAGTTCCGTGCATGTGTGAAAAACGTCCTGCCACGACCACATCTCGCACATGCGCAGTCGCGAATACCGAGAAAGATGGTGCCCATATGAGAGATGGTCCAAAAAACTTAGTGAAAATGCTGCAAATATTAAGGGGCATGATCAAACTGCATTATAGAAGGGCAGATAGATAAGTTGCAGCAGGATCAATCAGGTACTGAAAAAGTTCAAAAAATTAAAAATAAAATATAAAAATAAAAATGTCCATATGCACATACCTTGAAATTGAAATAGGAGGGGGTAATGTGTATGTGTTTGCCCAAACCCACTACCCCTTGGGTCACTGCAGAATAGGGGGGAAAATGGCAAATTATACTTGCTACCCCTAGGGTCACTGCAGAATGGAGAGAAAAAATGGCAACTTATACTTGCTACCCCTAGGGTTACTGCAAGTTCTCCCCTGGTCAAAAGAAAAACCTAAATGATCAAAACTGACCCAGTCTGTCCTATTGGGATGGGACAGGAACAGAAAGACTCAGGATTCCTGTCTAATTAAAGATGGGGAGGAGATACCCATTGTGGTGCTACCATGGCTATGGCCAGGAATTAGCAATTGCCCAGTCACCAGCCTATAAATCTGTCCATATGGTCCTATACTAAATACCCTATAAATATTAGACACATATACATTCATCATATATATATTAGGCAAATTGGCTATATATATATATATATATATATATATATATATATATATATATATATATATATATATATATATATATATATATAGATAATTCATACGGTTTTGTTATAAGCAAATGCAAATATTACAAGTTTTAGAATGAAATGTTGTATTTCTTAAACTGTGTACGTTGTCTTTAAGAGATATTGCACATTGACATGGTGTTAGAAATGGAACATATTGTTTTTCATAGATGTTTCTTTAAGCAATAACCTCAGTGCATAATATGTATGCGCCATTTTGTCCCAGACGAATTACAATAACAATAATGCATAAACAAGCTTGAAGGCTATACTACGACTCTTTCAGTACACAATATACTGTGGTAACCTTAGTAGATAAGGATGTCCAGACTTTAAGATGCCATCTTGATCTAAGTCAAGAGAATTTCCATGACGCACACACCCTTTAGTTATGGACTTGTAAGTTTGCCAAGTTAAGGGAGGTCCTAAAATGAATAAAGTAAAAGGTGTTATTTTTTTCATATATGAACTACGGTAACCCTAAAATGGAGACACCTAAGGTATAAATAGGTGTACTTTTAAATGTTAAGACACAGAGGAGAGACTTGGAGACAGACGCTGCTCCATCTTAAAATGACAGAGAGGCTGACATGATGACATGTTCAGAAGGGTATGTTAACCTATTAATGATATTTGCAAGCATATAATTTAATCTTATAAAATCTGCTATAAATTATTGTAATGGATTTTATGTTTGTTTATATAATAAATATCTAAAAAGTCAAAACTTTATTGCTTCCAAGACAATCCTTATTTTATATTGTATTCTCAATTATTTATATATGTTAAATAGAGGATCTCTTACACTATATAAAATTATGGCTAAGATATCTGTATGGTTATCCCTACTAAGTTCTATGCTTTCAGACATTATAGTGGTAAATAAGGGAACCAGCCACGGTTACAGTTTTGCACTCCTGCCTCCCAATCCTCCATGCCTGGTGCTCGGGGCAATACACAACGTTACATATAAAGCCAGTACGCAGGGTCTTTATTTGTGTCAATCTTTGTTTTATTGAAGCAAGTTAACAAACATCTAGGATTCACATTGTAAGTTGAGATTGAACATAGTAGTATAACCTTGGTATAAGCCTTCAACTTTAGCCTCTTTTACTTTTTCTTGTGTGGGTCAGTTGTGGTTGTGCAGTATGATTGGTGATTGTTGTTTCTAATTAGGTAGGTGGGTGGCGGGCTAGTCTAACATCACACCATCCTGTGCTTATAGCGTGTCTTATTCTCAGGTAGGTGAGTCGGGCATGATTAGAAGTGACACCATCGTTGGCGATATTAGTACCAATCATTTTAAGGCTGTAGCAACACTCAAGTCTGACTCTATAAATAAATAAATGTACAAAAAAACAAACCAAAAAACATATAGATACATTGAATAGTCTATCACCAGAACTAGTCAGTTTCCATAATCCGTTTAATTTATTTATTGCGGTGTTAAATATTATTCATGTGTAAAACAATAAACATTTTTTATTTTTATTTTTTAAATATACTTTATTAAAATCTAGACATATTCTGATTTGTTGAACGGCAAGCAGTTGAAGAATATGTCTAGAGTTAAATATTTTAAATGACAGCACATGATCGAGCAGCTGATGGTATGATGCCCTAGTCATAAGAAGAGAACAGTAAACAGCGCAGGTATTTACATGGCAAACATACCTATGTAAACCACAAGGAGATAGAAACCTACATGATATCGTGCCATGCGTCACACTTAGGCATCTGGCATCATTTATATCTAAGATTTATTCTGAGGAAAAAAATAATAGTATACCCAATTTTATATCCTTCACAACATTTATACATAAAATTTAAAAATTATTATGATTAGCATTGATATATCGCCAACATATTCTGTAGAGCTTTATGATTATAGCAAGGAGATACTCCAATATCCCATTCTCTCATATACACACTATTTCACAATTTTAATATATCCTAGGAGTCCTACAGTGCATTACTGTATATCCCATGACCTCATTGTGACAGCCCAGTTTCATAACTTATTCTATATAAATATACAATAAGGTTATATCCTTTATCCATTTCCCACAATGCCTTGATTACAGCCACTTAACGTGCTACGTGACAGTATAAAATCATTAAGTATAAAGTTAGTTTGTAACTTCTCATGTTAAGATTCTAAATTGCACACCCATAGGCAGATAGTGAGGGGGATTCTAACCTCAGCAGCTGAATATATTTATCTCACATTTTTATATATTTATATTGGGTGGGGGTAGGGGGGTACTTGAAAAGTTTACTAAAAAATATTAAATGGAGGCAGTGGTCATACGATGGTTCCATTTGCTATTAAATCTAGGCTCATTGGCTTTTTTATTTGGACATTGTTCCGATTTTATTTGTATTTTATATACTGTGTTAATAAATTAATTCTCTTTTTATTTGGTTCTCCATCTATCCATTTACATCTGGGAGTGCAGTCCCTTAATCTGCACATAATTCAAGAACTGAGTCAATTTAGACTCCTGGTCTGTAAGTACCCACTTGGGATCAACACTTTTATTCTAATTTACATAGACTGTACTACGCTATCTCCGGTTTATCTATTTTCCTGTAGGACAAGACATATATCCTAAACAGGGGTGGGTCGCCTAGACGGACCCGAAAGTGATTTCAACTAGAGCTGGGTCCACAGCTCTCTGTTTGTGAGTGAATAACACCATATATGAATAGATACATAATTGCACAGTTATATACTATCTGCACTATGTATGATTGTCTTTTGTAGATTAACCATTTACTGGACACCTGAAAAAGGAGGAAAAATCATATCTCGCCTAATTACTAAAAGGTGATAGCATATTATTTAGTATACAAGCGCTACATTCTGTAAGGAAATTCTTTTCCTTTCTACTGTTTAAATTTATTGGTGACATTGAAGGAGTCATTAGAATGTTTAGCAGCTAATTATTACTTGATATATATCTTTCTATTGGAAAAAATAAGCGCTGAGTCCTTAACTTTTCTTTCATTGGCAAATAAGGTCAAACAATTGAAATAAAAAATGGAGAATCAAAGACATTTTAATACTTAATATTACATCAGATGAGGAATAAGAAATTGATTCTGAAATAAAAAGGGAGAAAAAACACCAAAACACAACAAAGCGCACACTCACATTAATGACCCGATACCACGAGAACAAAAGTAAGATTGGCTAAAGACAAATATCCCCTGAGAGTGAATTGAATAGAACGTTCAGAAATGGAGTTCATGTTGCCAACTTGTCTGTAATTTTGAAATTTCAAAGTTAGCACCTTCCACTGTTTAGCGGGTAGACCCCTTAGTGTTTCTGTACAACAAATCCATAAATGGTTTCACACAGCAATGCTCCAGGAGACATTTTGTACACATTCGCCTTCCTGGCAGACAGAACAGCTCCTGCAATCAGAGCACGGATTTCACCCTTGCAAGAGGCTTCTGGCTACTATCATGCGCATTACCTCATTGGTTCCTATGAAAAAAATAAATAAATATAGTTTTGTTTATGAATACACATTTACAGAAAGGGATACCCCAACTATGCTACAATGTCTCCATCGAGAAGTTAGATTTGTATTCAGTGTTGGCTCGTCATTAACTGATGCTTTACAATTAGTGTCGATTTCTAAAATTACATTTCAATGGATAATCAGTATCTATAGTAGAAAGGCATCTTTTTTTCCAGCATGGCAACCTTTCAGCGGATGGCTTATTACCTCTACAAATTGACTGATCGTCTCGAATGTCTGAATGTTTTTATGAGATCTCGTATATAGCCCCAGACACTAGACCACTGAGAAGGCTCTGTGTGATAAAGTGTGCGCATGTTTAACTTGATTCATGGTGTCTGTAGAAACATAGAATGTGACGGCAGATAAGAACCATTCGGCCCATCTAGTCTGCCCAATTTTCGAAATACTTTCATTAGTCCCTAGCCTTATCTTATAGTTAGGATAGCCTTATGCCTATCCCACGCATGCTTAAACTCCTTTACTGTGTTAACCTCTACCACTTCAGCTGGAAGGCTATTCCATGCATCCACTACCCTCTCAGTAAAGTAATACTTCCTGATATTATTTTTAAACCTTTGTCCCTCTAATTTAAGACTATGTCCTCTTGTTATGGTAGTTTTTCTTCTTTTAAATATAGTCTCCTCCTTTACTGTGTTGATTCCCTTTATATATTTAAAAATATGTAGCCAGTCACACTCACCTTCTAAGATCTGATGAACACGAATATCGCGGACATACTGCTGCACGGCATAGTCTTTAAGGTATCCATACCCTCCATGCATCTGCAGGGCTTGATTACACACCTACGTAAAGCAGTGGAATATTACAGACCTGGTCAGGAACGACATCAAGAACAAACAATGACTTCTCAGGTAAAACAAAACCAAAATAGCTGCCAGCACCTCTCTTCGCCAATCAGCAATGCACCAACCTGGCGGCACTCTACACTTTCTGAAAGGGAAATTTCAGAAGCTGTTGGCCGCTGGGTGATGGGGGAAGGTTTAACCCCTCGAGGTAAGAGTGCTCCAGAGGGCCTCCTGGCGATATAACAGCATACTTTTGAGTTGTCTCTTTAATGCAAACCAACTTTCCCTAGCAAGACATCCACATCATCAGAGCTCCTATTCTTTCAAGACCCAACACAAAGTACCCTACTGTGGAGACAATCACGGAGGACAATCACCGAGACCGGTAACACGCCGGCTCAGAGATGCAGGAATAGACTACAGATGGACACTACCAATCTGTAATAACCACCCACCATCCGAAGCAGATCCATTCCTTCGAGCCCTAGGGCTCCCAGAGAGACCCGAGCCTCCAGAGATCCCGACCACTTCGGACCCTTGGGACCCCTCAAAGACTTTCCCTTTCACTCTCCGAACGAAAGATAGCCCGAGACCAGCTACCTGAACTACTCTTACGATGAGTGCATGGGCGTGTCACTATGTTATGTTTTTCTGTTCCTTTTACCGTTTTTAATATGTTTTAGTTAACCAATGCTTACTCTAGTGAATGGCTTGATTGCCTAACTGAAAGTATCATACACTCTCCCCTCCCCCTCAGTGGCCCCTTTGGTTAGGGGTCATTAATCAGCTCTGTCACAAAACAAACAGGCCACAGCTGTGATTTACCTATCCCCATGGGCACTACTCGGCACCCTTGGCTCACCTGAATGGGCTATTCTATACCCCTGTTATCATGCCTATGCCCTAGCACAACTGGTTTTCCCCTAGACTAACCTGAGACACTGACAGGGGTACCATACCCTACACCACATATTAGTGCTGGAGGGCAAGTAAGTAACCAAATTCAGAGACACCCTCGCTCTTATAACACCATACAACACAATTGGCACTGATGCCTCACTACAAGGGGGAGTCCCCAGTAACGCTGTGCACAGGACACCTGCCCACCTCTTCCCAAGACATAAGTAAGGTGCACGTCACCTACCCCTGAGTCAATTCCCATGCAACCGAGGAAGTAGAGTTACTAAGCCGCTCCTGTAACTCGCTCGGTCGTTGTTAAATATAGAAACCCAAACACAGTGTTTCCTTGGACTGAACAGGGAATGACTGGCCAATCACAACCTCATGGGGCATCAACATGACCCAATTATGCCCAGGGATCTTTTTCTATGTTCTTCCAATTTCCTTTTTGGCTTTATAACTAACATGTATTCTTGTCTTTGTTATGCGTTTGATGTGACAGACACTAGACCCCCAATCTACTTTGCTAGTACCAATTACCTTATGCAGCTTATCTTAACAACAGCCTCTGAAGAGTTGCTTAAACGTATATATGTCCTGAGCAATATGGCCCTAGAACTACTCTTAACATGCTTGACCAGAGGCTAAGCCTGATTACATATCACTGATAGGCGATAAGAATATACATGTGCAATGCTACCTTTATCTCAACTATATACCATCTACGTTTAACATTGTGCTACTGTTTACATGCCATGCTCATGTTTTTACTATATATGACAATGCAGCGCTTGCCTACGCTGTTGTGGCACCACAAACTTCTATGTGTGTTTACATGCGCAACAAAAATAAAGAATTATAAAAAAACAAACCCCCCCCCCCAAAAAAAGAGAAAATAGTTAAACATTAAATGGAAGGACAGTGCCTGGGCTCTTCAGACACAATAACCAAGTCAATGAGATGAAATGGTTATAATGCCTACAATGTCCCTTTAACCCCTTAGTGACCAGACCGTTTTTCAATTTTATTAACATTAAGGACCAGGGCTGTTTTTACATTTCCACGGTGTTTGTGTTTAGCTATAATTTTCCTGTACCCACACATATTATATACCGCTTTTCTCGCCATTGAGTGGGCTTTCTAAAAATACCATTATTTTCATCAAATCATGTAATTTACTATAAATTTTTTTTATATAATATGATGAATTACAAAAAAAAAAAAAAAAAAAATTTTTTTCTAACTTTGACCCCCAAAATCTGTTATGCATCTACAACCGCCAAAAAACACCCATGGTAAATAGTTTCAAAATTTTGTCCTGAGTTTAGAAATACTCAATGTTAGCATGGTCTTAGCTTGGAAAGTTAGAGGGCTCTAAGTACAAGTAGGACATTGCTGTTACAAAATTTATATTTTTTAAATGTATCAATAGTGACACTGTTATCTGTCATAAATCTGTGAATCACACCCCACATGTACATTTTTTTTTTTAAAGTAGACCACCCAGGGTGTTCAATATGGGGTATGTCCAGTCTTTTGTAGTAGCCACTTAATCACAAACACTGGCCAAAGTTAGCATTTATATTTGTTTGTGTGTTAAAAATGCAAAAAACAATTATGAACGCTAACTTTGGCCAGTGTTTGTGACTAAGTGGCTACTAAAAAAGAATGAACATACCCCATTTGCAATACCTTAGGTTGTCTTCTTTTGCAAATGGTATGCCATCATTAGGGTAATTTTAATTCCTGGGCTACCATAACATAAAATCAAGCCTTATATTTGAGCCGGTAATTTTCAAAAACACTTTAAAACCTGTACATGAGGGTACTGTTATACTCGGGAGACTTCGCTGAACACAAATATTGGTGTTTCAAAACAGTAAAACGTATCACAACAATTATATCATCAGTGAAAGTGTCATATATGTGTGAAAAACATCACTTTCACCGACAATATCTTCACTGTGATATGTTTTACGGTTTTAAAAAACACTAATATTAGTGTTCAGCGAAGTTCATCGAGAAAACAGTATCCCCCATGTACAAGTTTTATTGTGTCTTGGAGAGTTACAGGGTTAAATATAGTGCTAGCAAATTAAATTATCTGGATTTTCTGCCTGGGTTGTCAGGCAGGTCCTGCAAATTGTAATTAATAAATTACTTAATTATGTAAAAATATTACATAAATATGCATGTTGAATTTAAATATATATATACATATATGTTCGAAGTCTATGTGTACATTTATGAAATTATTTATGTAATTATATATATATATATATGGATATATACTTATTTCCTATTTTATTAATATATATAATAAGTGCATTTTGATATATATATATAAATTAAAAAGTGTTCATAAATCAAAATGTAAATATATATATAATTACATTTTGATTTATGAACATTTTTTTATTTTACAGATCCAGAACATTTATTTAATTAAATTTTTTTCTCAGCGGTGGCAGTCAAAAGGTGTATTGCAGGATGCCGCGACATCGAGGCATCGCTGCAATACCCTTAGAGCGGCTGGAAGCAATCACGATCGCTTCCAGCGCTCACATTTGCCGTTAACGACCATTTTTTGTTGGATGTACCAGGTATGTCCGTGGTCACGAAGGGGTTAAACACTAGAGTTTTTTAGCACCAATAGAATGGTCAAGTGGAATATTACACTATCAATGTCCTTTGCTGCTTTCAGCTAAAAGGCAAAATCTAAGACAAAAGGATTATTCTTTTAAACTAATTAAAGGGACACTATAGGCACCCAGACCACTTCAGCTCATTGCCCCAGGTCTCTCAACCCTGAGCAGCTAATTACTGCAGTTTTTGATATCCTTCCAGCTGAAGTTGTAGAGGTTAACACAGTGAAGGAGTTTAAGCATGCGTGGGATAGGCATAAGGCTATCCTAGCTATAAGATAAGGCCAGGGACTAATAAAAGTATTTAGAAAATTGGGCAGACTAGATGGGCCAAATGGTTCTTATCTGCCGTCACATTCTATGTTTCTATGATTACCTGCTAGGGTTAACGCCTCTGCTATGCTCGGGACATCCAGTGTCGTCCAAAACCACATATTAAAAGCATTGAATAATGCTGACGTCGGGGGAGGAGAGATAGTGGGCCCGAGCCAGCACCAAGGGACATCGGCACTTGACCCAGGTAAGTGACAGAGGTGGAAGCTATGGTGCCAGGAAAAAGAGTTTGTTTTCCTGGCACTATAGTTTCCCTTTAACTGTAAACAGGAAACACATGGAGTTGGATGTAACACTGTAACAAGGCTGTGTAATACAGAGGCAACTCCATTTGTTCACTATTTTGGCTAATTTAATTTTAGGAGTCATAAAAAGAGATTCTCCTAACCACGGACTGGCAAATTACCCAATATACACTTGTACTGGAAATCTTTCAGCTTCACAGAAGATGTAGAGCATTAACTGGACAGACAGCGCCTACCTTAAAGCACTCCTCGGTAGCATAAAGCTTTGCCATAGCACAGAATGTAGCAGCATCTGACTGTCCATCCTGTAAGGCCTGAGCTGCATGTCGAATCATCAGCCGGGCGGTGACCAGACGTGTTGCCATCTCTGCTAGCCCAAACTGCAGGTACTGTAAAAAAGCAGAGAAATAGCTCAAAAGGGGATTTTAAGCACGAAACAGACAGCATTCATACTGAAGAATATTAACTGGCAATACTGGCAACTGGTGAATTACAGCACATACAATGCCGATCAGCCTTGGTAACGGGGCAGACAATTATTATTGAACTGCTGAACAGGAGAGGGGGTGTTTTGTTATTCAGATAGAAGGTTCTACACCTCAATATAACAAATCATAAAGGCTGTTACATTGCATCCTCTACATAACATACCCATGAGTTATAAAACAAGCAATTAATTAAAAATAGTGGGCTCTTGCCTGTTATTCCAGCGGGCAAATTTAAAACAATAAATTAAGCAGTTACCTGATTATTAGCTAAAGGCTCCCCAAACTGCTTCCTCACAGAGAGATGGTCTCGGGCAAGTAACACAGAGGCGTGAGCTGCTCCGAGTGAACAGGATGCTGCATTCAGTAAAACAGACAGAGCAAGTTAATGGAGCAGGATACTCAATGCTGTGGGCAAGCCTTATGGTCCATGAACCTTACCGATATTTATTCGGCCTCCATTCAGGCCTTGCATAGCAATACCAAACCCCTGACCCTCTTCGCCAACTCTATTGGTCACAGGAACCACGCAATCCTCAAATATAACCGCTCGTGTTGGCTGGGAGTTCCACCCGACCTGCAGTAACAAATACAAAAGGGGTTATTACCTAAAGCGTGAATTACGGTGACTCAAATTCAAAATATTCCAAACCAAATAAAGTCACATTGTGAATATCGGTTGGGGAATTGTTCAAACTTAGCAAATTTAGTCTAAATCAACTATTTGATCTTAAATGCATCACAATTCAATGTTCAGCAAATAAATCATAAACAGAAGCAGTAGGGAAATCAAACAAGATTGTATTACTGCAAAGAGACAAGAAATTGTATAAATTAAATACAAAATAGCAGGAATGAGGTTTGATTGGATGAAGCAGGCCATTAGACAGCCCACCCCAGTGAATTCACCTTTTTGTCTCTCATTACACCCCTCTTTCCCCCACCTCCTTACAATCCGTCCCCCCCCTCGGGCACCAGGGACTCCTCACCTCAAAACATCTTTATAAAGCAGAAGCTATTTTGAGTCGTTTTTACAAAATGGAAATATTATTTCACACTCACCTTCCTCTCTTTCTTGCCAAAGCTGAGCCCTGGAGTCCCTTTCTCCACCACCAGACAGGAGATCCCTCGTGCACCACTGCCTCCCGTACGACACATCACCACATAGACGTCAGTTTCTCCACCACCGCTGATAAACGCCTGGAGAGGACACGTCGAAGAGGTCAATAGTAGAATGCACACTCACATGCAATGCTTATAACTACACCAGTGAAAACCTTACCTTCGAACCATTAAGGATGTAATTGTCGCCATCTCTCTTTGCAGAAGTTAACAGGGATGCTGCATCACTACCGCTGCCTGACGGAAGAAAAAAATAAAATAGTGGCAAAATAAATCAAAATAGATTATACAAGGCATGCCATGGACACAGTGTTAATTTATAGAATTGTTCATACAGTGTCTTCAGCCTTTTCAGACAGTTCTTTTTCAAGGGACATGCTAAGCACCAAAACAACTTTATCTTAATGAATCAGTTTTGGTGTCTAGAACATGCCCCTGCAGTCTCACTGCTCAATTCTCTGCCATTTAGGAGATAAATCACCTTGTTTATACAGCCCTAGACACTTACGGAAAGGGAGTCTAATTTTTTTTTAACTTCCCTTATTCCACGGTGTGTTGAATTTGGAGTATTTTCTCTCTTATTTTTTCCTGAAGCCTGCAGCAACCTCCTGCATGTGATTAAAGTTCAATTAACAGGGCAGTGAAAAAGCACTAGTAAAATAAACACATTGTAAAAATATAACTGCATAAATAGGGCTGCATAAATATAATGTTTTAACTCCTAAACGCCAGAGAATTGAGCAGTGATACTTAAAGGGATACTATAGTGCCAGGAAAACAAAGCCGTTTTCCTGCCACTATTGGTGCGTACATTGCATAACCACCCGGAAGTCCCTCTAGAGCAGGGTTGTCAAACATGCGGCCCCCCAGATGTTGCTGAACTACAACTCCCATGATTCTTTCAATGAAACAGATAGCCAGGGAATCATCGGAGTTGTAGTTCAGCAACATCTGGGGAGGCGCATGTTTGACAACCCTGCTCTAGAGGCTGTCTGGTAGATAGCCATTAGAGGTGAGTTAACCCTGAGAGGTAATTATTGCAATTTCTTGGAATCGGGTCATGAGACATTGCACCCAGACCACTTCAATGAGCTGAAGTGGCTAGAGTGTCCCTTTAAGCAAAGATGTTTTGGTGGTTAGAGTATCACTTTAAGGAAAGGTTGGTTGGTGTAGCAATGAAAAGCACATATCGCAATTTCATCCATACAGCGATCAGAGAGCAACTCCCCATCCCTTGGTGGATAGGCCAGCTGGCACTGGAAAGACATCCAATCAGCAATACACCTTTTTTTCTTTCTTTTACATATGTAGCCAAAATCCTCTCAATCCATAAATATAACCCTATTCAGTCTTTATGGCTGCTCAATAATCAGTTGTTTACCTTAGTGTAGGATCATCACTCACCTGGTTCTGTTAGACAATACGACGCAAACTTGTCCATGCTACAGAGTGGAGGACAGAACGTATGCCTTTGGTCATCATTACCAAATGTATCAATCATCCATACACACATGCTGTGGGTAAAAAACAAACAAAACAAAAAGTTTTCAGAGCTTCTCCTTGAAAGACAATGTATTGGTTTTAAGATCAAACAACGACTTTGAAGGGAAGTAATTGAGACTCTGTGCTGGATCGTCCGTACTTGTGAATGCTCATGTAGGCTGTCGTGCTCACACATCCCGTGGACAGAGCCTCAAAAATGATGGAGGTGTCAAGTCTGGAGAGTCCCGCTCCCCCAACATCCGGCTGTATGTAAATACCCCCAAATCCAAGCTGTGCCGCCTTCCGCATGGTCTCCACCGGGAATATTTCCTGCAGAAGAAGAAATCAGACACATGGATAAAGCACTGCATTGTGGAATAGCTTCAAGGGCCATTCTACTCAAATTTACAGCATTGTCCTGTATTTAGAGTTCTCACCTAAGCATAGATTATTATTTCAAGCTTTGAGCAAAGTCTTATATGTGGTTACTGTAACTTTATCCGGCTACCATGGTCAACTACCATGGTCAGTTCTCTATGGTCAGCTACCATGGCCAATACTCTATGGTCAGCTACCATGGTCAATACTCTATGGTCAGCTACCATGGCCAATTCTCTATGGTCAGCTACCATGGCCAATTCTCTATGGTCAGCTACCATGGCCAATTCTCTATGGTCAGCTACCATGGCCAATTCTCTATGGTCAGCGACCATGGCCAATTCTCTATGGTCAGCGACCATGGCCAATTCTCTATGGTCAGCGACCATGGCCAATACTCTATAATCAGCTACCATGGCCAATACTCTATGATCAGCTACCATGGTCAATTCTCTATGGTCAGCTACCATGGCCAATTCTCTATGGTCAGCTCCCATGGCCAATTCTCTATGGTCAGCTCCCATGGCCAATTCTCTATGGTCAGCTCCCATGGCCAATTCTCTATGGTCAGCTACCATGGTCAATTCTCTATGGTCAGCTACCATGGTCAATTCTCTATGGTCAGCTACCATGGTCAATTCTCGAAGGTCCTCACCTTCTCATCCCACTCCGCCATATGAGGTGCCATCTCTCGGGACGCAAAATCAAACGCTACTTTCTGAAACTCCTTCTGTTCTTCATTCAGCCCAATAGAAGCTGCAAATCAGAGAGCAACAGGAAGAGAAAAAGTATTGAGTAGTTTGTGACACATATTTACAGTGATAGTTCCATTTGATAACGTAGCATCAGGTTTCCGATTTCGACCCTTTTCTATATAACAATGCACGGTGCAGGTGGCAAAGTCTACACACATTTTGTTCAATTTTAAGAAACCATTGAATCACTAAGAGCATTGTAACATTATTTTACATGAAAACACTGCTGTTTATATCCCAGACAATTCTGGTCTTCCCACAGCTTGACATCACAGAGTCGGATGTTACCCTTAAACCATCTACTTTATTAATGCTTAAATTTCTATGAGCTGCTGTAATTTTGCAGAGTGTTTTACTTATCTGCTTTAGAACGATTGATTTATGGGAAAATGTCAAATATAAGAAGAGATAGTATTGTAGATGTGGAAGAATTGGTATTCATTAAACAAAAATAATAAATATAAAACACATGTATAAACAAAATACAAGATTCAAAAAATATATAAATAAATAAATAAAATGACAACCCACTCCTATCAATAATTAGATGTAGGTGTGTGAGTGTCCTGTTTTCACAATAAGATTTAGTGGCAACGGATCCCTATTTTATATTAAATTAATATTTAATTGTGATGGCGTCTAGACTAATGTTTCTTACAGGGAATGTCAAAAATGACTTCATATATTGTAATGCGTTATAGAAATAATACCATAAATATAATGCAACAAAAACCCCAATACATTAAAAAAATAAAGGTTATAAAAATAATACTACTAATAAAAAATAAATAATAAATATATAGTCAGAAATAATAAATAAAAATTAATTTCATTTTCATTTATTATGTCTGACTATATATTTATTATTTATTTATTATTAGTATTATTATTTTTATAACCTTTATTTTTTCCATATTTCATTTTCTCATATTTCTTTCATATTTCTTTCTTTTTTTATCCATTAACCCAATTCTATTTGTCTTCAGCCATATTTTTATATAATTTATGTATTCGGTATATATTCCAAACATTCCATAAACATGGTTTTCTTTAATCATATAAACTTAATCCATCATTGATGTTTATTTTTTTACATTCCATTATTATTATTTTTATTTTATATTTCTCTTTTTTTCTGTTAATCTGAGCCATTAAGAAGATCTTATCTGAAGAAGAATCCATTAACTTTCCTGACCCTATGTATGGGAGAAATGTCTGAATTCATATCCATCTAGTGAGTTCTCTACCACCTTCACCCTGATATCTACATTTTACATACTACACCATAAATTATTAATTTATTTTACAGATAACATTGCATTGTTGTCTCAGGTTGTATAATATTTCTATAATATTTCTATTATTCACCTATTTGGTGTTTGGTTATATACAGACTTTATATATTTATTTTATTTAGTACCCTTTTGGTTTCTTTCTTTGCCTCCAATTATTTAAAGTGTCTTGATAGGGAACACTTTTCCTTAGAGGGTCTATTTGTATTTTGGGAGCATATAGTGAACCATTCTTGTGTACATATGATAATTGGACCTGTATTAAAAAGATGGAGATGCAATCACTTAATACACAGTCTGGATCATTGTTTAGTGAACTGGATTATGTTTTGCAATTTGCGGAGCTATGGGCCATGCGTTAAATTTACGGCTCCATGTGATTGTGTAGAATTTCTCCAGGAAGGCCCAAGGGCAGGTCACTCTGAACACGACTTACAGCAGAGATTAGGGCGGGGGGCGTTTTTTTTTAACTTAACTCCCTAACATTATTCACATCAGTAAACATTTCAAAAGAGCATTTACTTGGTTGAGAGAATAAGATGGCAGGTCATGATCTGAGAAGTAACAGGGCTTCTTTAATTACCCTACCCAGTCTTACAGGTTTCAATACCTTACAGGGTTATCCACTAAAGTGAGAATTCAGAGTGAATTTCAAATAACAGGTGAAAATAGCTGAACTTCTCTACGTTAGCTATGCTTTCAATTTGTTGTCTCAGGCCTTTAAGGGACACTTTAGTCACCAGAACTTAACATAGTTGTTATGGTGTGTATAGTATGCCCCTGCAAGCCTTTTAATGTAAACACTGTCTTTTCAGAGGCAGTGCTTAGATTATTGCCGAGGGACACCTCTAGTGGTAGTCACTTAACATCTTCACACTCCGAATGCTCCCCATAGAGATGCACTGATTCAATGCATCTCTATCAAGAGATACTAACTGGCACAGCGTTTTGTTGCACATACGCAATAGCCTCCAGCATTGGATTGGCTTTCGGGCGTGTGGGAACTATAGTGCTAGGAATACAGATTTGAATTCCTAGTTTTATACAATCTTTACTGGAAAATAAATCCAGGTCTTATAATAATTTCCCGCCCCGAAAAACGTACTAGGGCTTGTTTTCAGGGGTTGTCTTGTTTCGGGGAAAAACTGTAGCAAGAATGTGTTAGAAAACAGGTCTACGTTCAGGGAATTCCCCCGAACATGGGCCAGTTCCCTAGGACATGGAATCCCTGCGAATCTACAGAGATTAGTAAACTAGCGACTAGGGTTTATTTCCATGGTTGGGCGTATATTACGAGCATCCCCCGGAAATAAGCCTTCTTATTTTCAGGGAAACACGGTAGTATCAGGTATACACATGCGTGTATTTCCTTTAAATTTGAATTGTCACTTTCCTGAATTGCCCTGTTAATGTGGGCAGTTACCTGCGGATGATGAATAGTGGGCCTTTAATGCAGGCCTCTGGGGGGCCCATACTGTCTCTTCAATGCAGTGCTCTGGGGGCCCATACTGTCCCTTTAATGCAGTGCTCTGGGGGCCCATACTGTCCCTTTAATGCAGTGCTCTGGGGGCCATACTGTCCCTTTAATGCAGTGCTCTGGGAGCCCATACTGTCCCTTTAATGCGGTGCTCTGGGGGCCCATACTGTCCCTTTAATGCGGTGCTCTGGGGGCCCATACTGTCCCTTTAATGCAGTGCTCTGGGGGCCCCATAATGTCCCTTTAATGCAGTGCTCCGGGGGGGGGTCCATACTGTCCCTTTAATGCAGTGCTCCGGGGGGCCCATACTGTCCCTTTAATGCAGTGCTCTGGAGGGCCCATACTGTCCCTTTAATGCGGTGCTCCGGGGGCATACTGTCCCTTTAATGCAGTGCTCTGGGGCCCATATACTGTCCCTTTAATGCAGTGCTCTGGGGCCCATACTGTCCCTTAATGCAGTGCTCTGGGGCCCTTATCTAGTACAGTGCTCTGGGGCCCATGCATCCCTTTAATGCAGTGCTCTGGAGGGCCCATACTGTCCCGCTGTCGCGGTGCTCGGGGGCATACTGTCCCTTTAATGCAGTGCTCTGGGGGCCCATACTGTCCCTTTGTGCAGTGCTCTGGGGCCCATACTGTCCCTTTATTACCACCTGCAGTGCTCTGGGGCCCATACTGTCCCGCTAATGCAATTTGAGGGGGGGCCATACTGTCCCTTTAATGCAGTGCTCTGGGGGCCCATACTGTCCCTTTAATGCAGTGCTCTGGGGCCCATACTGTCCCTTTAATGCAGTGCTCTGGGGCCCATACTGTCCCTTTAATGCAGTGCTCCGGGGGCCCATACTGTCCCTTTAATGCAGTGCTCTGGGGCCCATACTGTCCCTTTAATGCAGTGCTCTGGGGGCCCATACTGTCCCTTTAATGCAGTGCTCTGGGGCCCATACTGTCCCTTTAATGCAGTGTTCCGGGGGCCCATACTGTCCCTTTAATGCAGTGCTCTGGGGCCCATACTGTCCCTTTAATGCAGTGCTCTGGGGCCCATACTGTCCCTTTAATGCAGTGCTCCGGGGGCCCATACTGTCCCTTTAATGCAGTGCTCTGGGGCCCATACTGTCCCTTTAATGCAGTGCTCTGGGGCCCATACTGTCCCTTTAATGCAGTGCTCCGGGGGCCCATACTGTCCCTTTAATGCAGTGCTCTGGGGCCCATACTGTCCCTTTAATGCAGTGCTCTGGGGGCCCATACTGTCCCTTTAATGCAGTGCTCTGGGGCCCATACTGTCCCTTTAATGCAGTGCTCCGGGGGCCCATACTGTCCCTTTAATGCAGTGCTCTGGGGCCCATACTGTCCCTTTAATGCAGTGCTCTGGGGCCCATACTGTCCCTTTAATGCAGTGCTCCGGGGGCCCATACTGTCCCTTTAAGGACCCACACACGTCACGTGACTCTTGACCTTTTCCAAGATGGCGGCCTCCTGGCTTGCCCTCAGTGAAGGCCGGTGGGCCGTACCGTCTATGCAGGAGGCCATCGCTCTGGCCGGAGCCGCCGGCCGCTGGTAAAGGCTCCCCAGCCTGCGGGCCAACAGCACCGCTCCTCGCCATCTCCCCGCCATGTCTGCGAGCCAGCGCGCAGTGTATCACGGGACATGTAGTCCGCCATCGCTCAGACTCCGACAGGAAGCGGCTCACAGGACTACAACTCCCGTGACCGCTTGCGGGCAGTGCTGCGGGAGAAGCCAGGATCCTGATTGGCTGGTGGAGGGGGTGCGCCTTAAAGGGCCAGTGACAGGTATTGCTGCAGAGTCCCATGGGCCAGGCTGGGGGACTATTTACATTAATTTAACTGTGATTATCATTATTTATTAATTATCATTATTAATTATTATTAATTAGAACTAGATATTTTATTAATATACTCATTGCACAATTAATATACTGAAACAGTCATTTAATATAAAATAATGTCAAATCAGATCGTAATAAAAGGGGAATCTACAGATAATCATACACAGAGTTCTAATAAATTGTGTGACTTTTTCTTTAGTTTTTTTTTCAGTGGACGGCTGACGTTTGAAGCGTATTATTATGCCTCGGGCTAAGAGGAAGCGAGCATCGTCTGAGAGTGAGTACACCCTTCCAGGCACCGCTGCTGGGCTATGCACTAACAAGTCCAACTTAAATTATATTGGCCTCCTCCACTAAGCCGTGAGAAATCCAGAATAATATGGCTCAGAATTCAGCAGCAATCTAGGAATCCATTGCTTTATATTGAAAAACCTACTCTTATTACGTTAACGTTTCTTTACAGATTCCACAGAACCAGCAGCCAAAGCAGGTGATAAGGAGGTGGAAAAGACTGTGACGAGCGGCGCCATCACCCCTAAAAATAAATCTGCGCAGAAGACGGGCGAGCCAGAGGAATACGCACACTGGCTGTTAAAATCTGAGCCGGAGAGCAGGATGGACAAAGGGATAGATATGAAGGTAGGAGACACAGCCGTCCGTTCAGTGCCTGACAGTATTCTCCCCACTCTAGCGTAGAAACCTCTATCGTAAGGATCTGGTTTCCACTTTGTTGCATTAACGTGTTCGGAGAGTGAGATTACACAGCAGAAATTAACACAATCTGCCGAATGGTTTAATTATGTCAGAGAATGTTCAGTGATTTGTAGTGCAATCTGTGTAATACACCAGCAGAGCAGTGTCAAGCCTTTCACCTCCAGCTATTGAAGGACTACAAATCCCATAATCCCCTGACAGCCCATTAACTGCCTTGTTGCGCCTTCAATCAAGAAGTGGTTGCAATTATTGTCCCGCTATATAGTGGATCTCCATCACCATACTGTGACGGACAGACTGGCAGATCTCAATATTTACTTCCTGGTGAAACTCATTTTAAACACATCCCCCAGTGATTTGCGTGTCTGACGGCTGCGCTGTGCCGCCATGTTCTTGCCTTTCAGTTTGGAATCGAGGATTTGAAGAGTCAGCCTAATCAGACTGCCTGCTGGGATGGAGTCAGGAACTATCAGGTGTGTTTGGGTTTTGTTTTCTCAGATTAAAGCTACAAGTTTAGCATTTATAGATCGTGTCATTTAAAGGGTTACTCCAAGCACCATAACAACTTCAGTGGTTTTTTTTTTGCTTCCCCCCCCAAAGTATGAGGACTTCCAATGTAATGTCTTAGAGTTAAACTCCATGTAATGCAGGAATTGCCTCTAGTGGATAGCTGAGAGACCGCCATTAAAGGCAGTCGAAAGTAAAATATATTGCCAGCTAATGGGACAGGTAGACTGCACCCAGACCACTTCATGGAGATGTAATGTTGTGGGTGCCCATAGTGTACCTTTAAAGCAAATGGCAAACTGCATAAATTGTCTGTATCGGTGCAATAATAGCTTTTAAAGCAGCACTGGACGTTTCAACCCAGTCGAAAGATGTACTGAGACAAATTAAGGATTATTGGGTTTCCGTAATTTTTCTAAGCCTGACAATTATCACTTTTTCCAGCCATCACTAGTGACAGCTGCAAGGAAATTAACTCTTTGTATGGAGGATCCTACAGTCTCTCAGGATCCTTCATAGACTTCTTACAGAATTACAGAATAGAGTATGTATGCGTGAGAGTACAGCAGTGAGGTCTGTGGAGGATCCTGCGAGACTATTAGCTCTCAGCAGCCAAAGGACCAGGAACAGAAAAGGCGTGACAGGAAGACCATGGCAGTGCCAGCGAAGGACCGGTTAAGGCAAGCAATGTTTTCCTTTGCCTGCCCGGCACTGGACCCCCAGTGGCTTTGTCACCATCGGATGTCTCTGCAAATTATGTAGAGTCACCCGACAGTGACAGATCCACATTACAATAAGCTTTAAAAGGGTAAATTGTTGCATTCAGTGTGTGTATTTTCTCCCTTAGTTCTGTTTATTTTTACCCTGTTTCTCTTCCCATCCCCTGTGCAGGCAAGAAACTTCATGAGAAAAATGAAGACTGGGCAGAAAGCCTTCTTCTATCACAGTAACTGTAAGGAGCCTGGTGTTGCGGGCGTGGTGGAGGTATACACTGATGGAATTATCACATGTACCAGAGAGCCGTGTTTAATTTATTCATTACATTTATACATAGATCACCCACAACCCTAAAACCACTGACAGAATAACGGATTATATTGTTACAACGGCAACTGTCAATAGGCGGAATATATTAGGCAGCAAGTGAACAGTCAGTTTGTGAATTTCACGTGTTAGAAGCAGGAAAATGGGCAGGCGATGAGGTCAGAGTGACTCTAACAAGGGCCAAATAGTGATGGCTAGACGACTGGGTCAGGGCATCTTCAAAATGGCAAGTCTTGCAGGGTGTTCCTGCTGGGTAGTGGTTAGTATCTACCAAGAGTGGTGCAAGGAAGGACAACCTATGAAATTACATCAGGGCCCTGGGTGACCAAGTCTCATTGATGAACTTGTGGAGGAAAAGCTAGCCCACCTGCTCTGAAATACCCAATGCTGGCCATGGTAGGAGGGTTTTCAGAACACGCAGTACATTGCAGTTTGCTGCATAGCCGCAGACCGGTCAGAGTGCCCATGATGACCCCTGTCCACCCGCTAAAGCACCTTCAATGTGGACATGAGCATCAAAACTGGACCATGGAGCAATGGAAGAAAGTTGCCTGATCTGATGAATCACGTTTTCTTTCAGATCAAGTTGATGGCCCAAGTGCGTGCGTGCGTATAATTTTCCAGGGGGAAGAGATGGCAGCAGGATGCATTATGGTTTGAGGAACATGACAGAGTTCAAGCTATTGCCTTGGCCTCCAACTGCCTCCGATTTCAATCCGATTGAGCATCTGTGGAATGTGCTGGAATAACAAATCCAATCCATAGAAGCCCCACCCGTCAGTTTTATCACAAATCTGTAAATATTCCAGTTTTAATACAGAACTAGGTGTCTTTCTAACATGCAGCTACTTTGACCGGAAGCTCATTTTCATGACTGATCCTTCATGTTAGATGTATGAATACCAAATGTAAAGATGCCATTTTATTTAATTTTATGCTACTCACCCACTTGAACAGCTTTGCACTTAAATGGTCACTGGTCTCCTGTTCAGACTGTTTCAGTCCTCTGCCCGTGACTTTTTAATTTGGTACAATGCTGTATTCCCAACATCTACAGAATAGGACATGCAGCTACAGCACAGGTTATAACGGAATACAGCAACGTACTCCAATCTGTAATGAATGACATCATTCTAAATATCTTCTATTGTTCTTTTAATGGAATGTTGTTCTGATACTTGCTCTTTAAAAGATAACACTAATGTTTATATGGCGACTTTCCCTGAGGATCGCTATTTTTAAGATGCTCAAGTTCATAAAAGACAAGTCTTATAACTTTCTTAAAATACATATTTGCAATACTTATTTGAAGGGACACTCTAAGCACCAAAACCTTGGCTTAATATCTTGCCATTTAGGAGTTAAATCACTTTAAGTAGCTGTTGCAATACAGCCATTTGCAGAGATTCATTCAAGCTCATTGGACACTTCCTGTAAAGAGATCCAATGTTTATACTTCCTGTATTGCATTGTTTTATTTACAATTTCATATCTCCTGTTCTGTTACTAGTCTGCTGGAGCCTCTTATGTGCGATTGCAGTTCAAGTAACAGAGCAGGAGATCATAACTTCTAAAGTAAACACACTGTGCTGTAAGATTGTCAGTCACAGGTAGAGGAGGTGTGACTTTTAAAACAAATTGTTACTAGACACCATTGGAAGCCATATGTTGTGACAGACCTGAGAAGCACATTGCTTTCCATTTTACCAAACTGCTCTCTATAATATTATATTCTAAATACAGATTGTAAAAGAAGCCTACACAGACCACACACAGTTTGATCCAAAAAATCCACATTATGACTCCTCGAGTAGCCGGGACAACCCCAGATGGTTCATGGTGAGTGTGAGACCCAACCAGTTCACATTGGAGGTGAGGTTCCAGAATTAGTCACCTAGTATAGGACTGTACATGTTTTTAGCAGTTAGTACAGCAGCAAGAACCTGGAGTTTAGTTAAAACGTTCCATAATCTGCCTTCTGAGAAATAGGTACCTTGTTATAGTGCGCCAGTCTTAACGGACGTGCTGTCTTGGCACATCTGTGCAAATCTTACAGTAACATTATGAATTTAATTCGGCACACATCGTCACTTTTGGCAGTAGCTTAATATTAACACTGCGTGCATCACACACACACTAAAGGTTTAGAGGACGCAGAAGGTCCCCGCTGTATGTTAAAGGAAGATGTCCTTCCTGTACAGGTGGATGTGCAGTTTGTCCGGATGCTGAACCGTTTCATTCCGCTGGCAGAGCTCAAACAGATTCACCTAAAGCACAAAGCTTCGGGGGGCCCATTGAAGAACATGGCTCTTTTTACCCGAGCGAGGCTGTCAGTGCAGCCACTAACACAAGGTGAGTCTGGACAGGCAGGGGGACAGGTAGAATCCATATCCCAACTTCTCACCTTACTGGGACATCCTGATCTGACTTGTGAAGGCATGGTTACAAATCCTTGCTAAACTGCTCCACCTAGTGGTAGAGCTTGAAATATTCTGGCAGGTTCAGGAAGGATGTACAAAAAAGGGAGATTAATAAATTAAATTGCAACATTTTGGCTAAAATGACACACTATAGTGCAGGGGTAGGCAACCTTTTAACAGCACTGTGCCGAAATATGATTGTGATGTCCCGTAGCGTGCCGGCCCTATTTCTTTAAATTGAGGTGTGCATGTTGCCATATTCTGCCTGTGTCATTTATACTGCATTTCTTTGTATCGTTGTATTTGTGCGTATAGGAGCTATTATATTGTATATGTTCATTAATAGTTTGTGGTATCATGTATAATAAGTATGAATTTGGGCTGTGTATGGGGGCTGCTTGTGGAATTATGTGTGGATGGATATGTCACATTATGTATATGGTAGTGTGTGTATGTGTGGGGCTGTTTGGGGTATTGCATGTTAGAGGCTGCATGTGGGGTTGTGTGCATGTATGTGGATTGTTGGTGGTGTTGTGTTTGTGCGGACTGTGTGTGTGTTTGTATTATTTGTATGTGGGGGGGGGGGGCGGGAATTCTGTAGCTCTGAGGCATCCCTGGGTTTTTGTGGGGTCCAGGCTTGCCAGGTACAGCTCAAGGACAGAAGCTGCAACAGGAAGCTATGGGCTGCTCTACTCCAGTGTGGATTCCCATTCACAAGTGCTGGGCGGAAGTGATCTGATATCGCTTTCTCTAGGTGCTGCAGTGCATAAATGGAGGATTGTCCTTCACCACCTTTTCATATTAGCAGATTTCTGACGTTTCACTGGGACTCCTGACAGGCCAGAGCCTGTTTGGCTCTTGTAGCCTTGAGTGCCGTGCAAAGGCACCTCGAGTGCCGTAGGTTGCCTACCTCTGCTATAGTGGATAAAGCTATAAAATGCGTAAGTAATGTTGGTGCCTGGCGTATCTTTAACACAATATATTATCAGCTTCTTAGTATAGCAGAAACTGGGTTTGTCTTTCCTTTATCTTAGTTTGGGGTAAGTCTGGGTATGCATTCATTTGCATTTTTTTTTTTTCTTGCACAGAGGAGTTTGACTTTATCGTAAGCCTGGAAGACGTTAAAGCGTAAGATTGCAGAATGCACGCAGTGGGTGTGGCTTTCACTGAATGTTGTTGCTCGGCAGATCTGCCCCTAAATCACAGCAGCGGATCAGAGGATTATATTGACATCATTCCAAATTGTGTATATTTCTGGACCACGTTTCTAATGATGCTCATTCAAAGTTCAAATTAATACAGTAACAGGTTTGCCATCACTCTTCTATGGTATTTTTCTATATATTAAAACTTGAATTTCCTATTTATTTGCATTCAAGTGATAGATTCATATGTGGGTTCACTATGGTCCATTTTTGGATGCTGTGATTTTATCGTACTTTACAAAACTGGCCACATGCAGGACTTTCTCATTGAAGTGATATGGGCGAAGTGCCCCTGTCCTCTCTGGCAATGTTAATTATTTCTCAGAAACTGCGACATTTACATGGAATACCAGACAGCCACTAGAGGCGCTTCCTGCATATTCACTGAGTTAACATAATTGGATATTCTCATGTTTTATATGAATACATCCTGTGTCTTAAACATCCCTATAGGAAAGCATTGATTCATTGAGGTCTTATGGGAACTTTCTAATACGTACACGACTATCTTTGCGCATGTACATTAGGTTTCCCCATTGGTATGACGTAGACCGATCCATCGCCGAGGGACCTCTTTGCTGGAAAGAGGTAAGTGGAAAAAATGAGGTGTGTGTATTATGTACAGATTATTCAACATTACAAATAATTTATGGGGACAGTGTATGGTAAAAAAACAAAAAAAAACCCTGACCCCTTCACATGAATAAAAAACCATTTACCTTTTAAAGTAGCTAATATTACTAACAGGTTCTCCTGCTAGTGTAATAGCATGTAGGTCCCTCCATTACCAAGAAAAGAGGTCCACCAATCAAGAGCATCTTGTTTTGGTGTATGGAGTACGTCCTTTATCTTCCAGGAGCGATTCCAGCCATTTAACAGGGCGAGTTTGGATTCCAATATTGTTGAATGGGTAAGGCAGTGGCTAAGTGACAGGCAACAGAGGGTTGTAGTCAATGGAGTATATTCGAAGCATGGGCTTGTCACCAGTGGGGTACCTCTGGGATCTGTACTTGGACCCATTCTCTTTAATGTTTTTATTAGTGATATTGCAGAAGGTCTTGAGGGTAAGGTATGTCTTTTTGCTGATGATACTAAGATATGTAACAGTGTTGATGTTCCAGGAGGGATAAGCCAAATGATTTAGGTAAAGTAGAAAAATGGCCAGAATTGTGGCAACTGACATTTAATGTGGATAAGTGCAAGATAATGCATCTTGGACGTAAAAACTCAAGGGCAGTGTACAGAATATTTGATAGAGTCCTATCCTCAACATCTGAGGAAGGGGATTTAGGAGTAATTATTTCTGATGACTTAAAGGTAGGCAGACAATGTAATAGAGCAGCAGGAAATGCTAGCAGAATGCTTGGTTGTATAGGGAGAGGTATTAGCAGTAGAAAGAGGGAAGTGCTCATGCCATTGTACAGAACACTGGTGAGACCTCACTTGGAGTATTGTACGCAGTACTGGAGACAGTGTCTCCAGAAGGATATTGATACTTTAGAGAGAGTTCAGAGAAGGGCTACTAAACTGGTTCATTGATTGCAGGATAAAACGTACCAGGAAAGGTTAAAGGATCTTAACATGTATAGCTTGGAGGAAAGACGAGACAGGGGGGATATGACAGAAACATTTAAATACATAAAGGGAATCAACACAGTAAAGGAGGAGACTATATTTAAAAGAAAAACTACCACAACAAGAGGACATAGTCTTAAATTAGAGGGACAGAGGTTTAAAAATAATATCCGGAAGTATTACTTTACTGAGAGGGTAGTGGATGCATGGAATAGCCTTCCAGCTGAAGTGGTAGAGGTTAACACAGTAAAGGAGTTTAAGCATGTGTGGGATAGACATAAGGCTATCCTAACTATAAGACTAGGGACTAATGAAAGTATTTAGAAAATTGGGCAGACTAGATGGGCCGAATGGTTCTTATCTGCCGTCACATTCTATGTTTCTATGAGTAGAACTATGTAAACTGAAAGGGACGGTTTTACAAATCGATGCAGTTATAAGCCTGGAAGACATTAAAGTGCTTAGTGTGCAGCAATCTCTCTGCACCATAAAGTTTCCAAAAATACAAAGTTGTCATGGGGACTAGACTGACTCCTTGAGCAGCATTCCCAAATCCCAGATATGCACATAAGCAAAGAGTATATCTGATGAGCAGCTCTGGCCATACAGAAAATCCCAATAATGTAAGCAAATCGTGCCGCTGGTGAGCTGCTCTGTTCTTGCTACAGAGGGCTCCTGTGTCCATGGCCAGTACTCAGTCTTGTATTATCTTTACTTACGGCATTTCGTGCAATCCTACACACACAGTATGTATAGATAATGACTCTGCACACAGAACATGGACAAAGGATATTGGGACTCCCTAGTATTGCATAAATTGGTTATAAAAAATAAATAAAAAAATCACAGAATTGGCTGAGGCTTTGTTTTTGTTTTGTTTAATCTTAGACTAATAAAACAATGTAAAAGACATTTAAAACACAATGAAATTAGACATGAAAAATAAAATAAAACACTGCAACTGATGGAATTCTCTGAAGTGTGAAAGTGATCTGTAGAAGGGAGAGCTGTCACCTTGAAATGAATGCAGACACTGAGTATCCCTGCTCCTAGGAGCTTACAATCTAAGTTACATATCTGAGGCACATCCAAGTTTTTTTTTCTAAAAAACGCAGTCTCTCACAAATAGATACATCAATTACCACCTCGTAAACACTTTGTTTTAACCAAAAAGCGTATATTTTGTATATAATTTAAACATGGTGAAGCACATTAAATGTGTACACAGTTCGAATTTAATACAATACTTCAAAATGCTTTCCCCCCCTCACAAATGGCTAATAGAATCTAACTGATCTATTCGGCCATCAGTAATACAAACTACCTAACCCCCCCCATCATTTTAAATGATCGAGTACAGCAAATTGCTTTTCATGGGGTTTGTTGGATATTGTCATATACAACTGATATATCCTAAGTAAGAGTAAAAACACCTTTTATATGCCACAGATCACCAATATTTTAAAGGTACAACCATAATGTATTATTGTAGCTTCCCCTGAACACAAAAGGTAAAACATCACTGGACTGACGCCAATGGTTCAGGCTAGGGTTGTCAGAACTAACGAATATTGGTTAAAGCATTAATGAGTAGGGAAGAAGCTGTGTTGCAATTGTACAAAACACGGCTGGGCACTCAAGATGGGGTACCAGACTGGTACAGCATTGCCATACCAACAGGCTCATACGAACAGTCTTAGGTAAGACTGGGTTATTAAGCAATATAAGCTTATTAGACTAGTTAATGAGCAAAGAATCCCATATCCTTATCCCTTGGGGAATCTCCATCCCCTCACCCCCCCCTAGGAATTGGAATCCGCAAGGATCACTTCATCTTTAATAGTGGAGCAGAGTTCTCCAGTATAGTAATACTATGATATACGTGCAATAGTTTGGATTTCAAGGAAAGCTGCCCAGCTTAAACCTTCCATGTGCCTAAGGAGAGGCAAAGTCCCTGACACCCTAAGGGGTTAAAATGCTTAATTTTTTATTTTTTTTATTTATTTATTTTTTTTAGACATTAATTCCTTGTTAATTTAACAATTATACCTTCATATATATTTCTTCATGTAGATTTTCAGGGGAAATATTTCAATATTTTAAATTCAACCTCCAAAAGGCAGTGCACAGATTAACAAATAAAACACTTTTAAAGAGGATTGTTGGGAGTAAGGCCTCACCGACTGGGGCATCTTACAGAGATGTCATGCTTGGAGATGCTGCTCGCTGGTGGTTAAAACAGCAACTTAAAAGAGACAGGCATTGACAATGGGCAGATTGGTGCATTACTGGCACTGAGACATTAACTATTAATTACATCAGCACCTACTCCCATTTATAAGAAGAGGGCACTTCTCATGGCAAGAAAAGTAGAAAAAAAAAACAAAAAAAACTTTCGCTGAAATGATACGTGTCCCTCCCACCCCCTCCATTGTTAATAAGTTTGTGTGTAACACCGAGATGGGCCTGTGATATTAACAAAGGCAATGTGAGAATAAAAACTATTAAGGGACCATTATACTTCTCATCTTCCCCCAAATGAGTTGGGATTTGGCCTGCCTGGTAAATTGTGCCTGTTGCATCGCTCTGCAGGCATAGATCCGAATGCCCGTGCTTGGGGTAACAGCACAGATGGCGACAGGGTTTGGGGTAAAGAGGTTCAGTCTCTGTATATTGGACCAAGAAGGCCTGAAAAGGAGGACACAATTTCACTCTTTTTCCTGGTCCCCCGCTGTGGCCCCGCTATGCTGTGGTCTACACTCGGGGTGACTCGTCCCCTCGAATCGCTGAGATGCAATAGCAGCCTGGTGAGACATACTCTTCCGCACAATGTCTCCTTTACGCCATAACACCACCTCCTGGAGAGGGACAAAACCAGGATATATTAAAAACAATATCTCCCATGTGAAACAGCACAACTTCAAAACTGTTTATTTTTCCCACCTTTAATAATTTTAGACAGAGTCCATCCCATGTAAGGGATTAACACTTCGGCATCATCGAGTCTGTCCAATCTATCCAGCAACGATGTGCTGAGAATGCTGTTAACCCAGCTATCCCAACCTATCACTGCCATGCAGTTTGGACAAAATGCCCACAGTAATGTTGAAATGTACGAGCTGATACACAATGGCAAAGGACTGTTAAGGCAGAATGTTGCAAAACAGAAACAAAACCAGTCCTGTTTAATATATAGGTGATCAAGGTAAACAAAAACAGAACCTGTCGCAAGTGATACTTCCGGCACACACAGGACATCATCTCTTACCTGCTGTTTGAAGTAACGCCTCTCCTCCTCGTCGATTAACACCAAGTTGAGGTAATAGCGCACACTGAATTTTTTGTTGATGTCTCGCATGGTTGGAGTCAGCTCATAGCCAGCAAGGAAAAGCCGAATTGGTATGGATTCGCCTGCAAAGAGGAATCCCAGTTAGAGCTGACAATGAAACAGACACCATAATCACTCCCTGGAATCTGATTCAACTCAGAATGTAAAAACATAAAAAGTGCTCAATGAAAAGTTATCCACAGCGCTCATGACATGTTCGTACTGGATCCTGTACTATGTTAGCAATGGCGCTGTGTACGTGTTAGTACTGGATCCTGTACAATGTTAGCCATGGCGCGGTGTACGTGTTAGTACTGGATCCTATACAATGTTAGCCATGGCGCTGTGTACATGTTAGTACTGGATCCTATACAATGTTAGCCATGGCGCTGTGTACGTGTTAGTACTGGATCCTGTACTATGTTAGCAATGGCGCTGTGTACATGTTAGTACTGGATCCTATACAATGTTAGCCATGGCGCTGTGTACGTGTTAGTACTGGATCCTGTACTATGTTAGCCATGGCGCTGTGTACGTGTTAGTACTGGATCCTATACAATGTTAGCCATGGCGCTGTGTACATGTTAGTACTGGATCTTATACAATGTTAGCCATGACGCTGTGTACATGTTAGTACTGGATCCTGTACAATGTTAGCCATGTCGCTGTGTACATGTTAGTACTGGATCCTGTACAATGTTAGCACTGGATCCTGTACAATGTTAGCCATGACGCTGTGTACATGTTAGTACTGTATCCTATACAATGTTAGCCATGACGCTGTGTACATGTTAGTACTGGATCCTATACAATGTTAGCCATGGCGCTGTGTACGTGTTAGTACTGGATCCTATACAATGTTAGCCATGACGCTGTGTACATGTTAGTACTGGATCCTATACAATGTTAGCCATGGCGCTGTGTACGTGTTAGTACTGGATCCTGTACAATGTTAGCCATGGCGCTGTGTACGTGTTAGTACTGGATCCTATACAATGTTAGCCATGACGCTGTGTACGTGTTAGTACTGGATCCTGTACAATGTTAGCCATGGCGCTGTGTACATGTTAGTACTGGATCCTGTACAATGTTAGCCATGGCGCTGTGTACATGTTAGTACTGGATCCTGTACAATGTTAGCCATGACGCTGTGTACATGTTAGTACTGGATCCTGTACAATGTTAGCCATGACGCTGTGTACATGTTAGTACTGGATCCTGTACAATGTTAGCCATGGCGCTGTGTACATGTTAGTACTGGATCTTGTACAATGTTAGCCATGACGCTGTGTACATGTTAGTACTGGATCCTGTACAATGTTAGCCATGGCGCTGTGTACATGTTAGTACTGGATCCTGTACAATGTTAGCCATGGCGCGGTGTACATGTTAGTACTGGATCCTGTACAATGTTAGCCATGGCGCTGTGTACGTGTTAGTACTGGATCCTGTACAATGTTAGCCATGGCGCTGTGTACCTGTTAGTACTGGATCCTATACAATGTTAGCCATGGCGCTGTGTACATGTTAGTACTGGATCCTGTACAATGTTAGCCATGGCGCTGTGTACGTGTTAGTACTGGATCCTGTACAATGTTAGCCATGGCGCTGTGTACATGTTAGTACTGGATCCTATACAATGTTAGCCATGGCGCTGTGTACGTGTTAGTACTGGATCCTATACAATGTTAGCCATGACGCTGTGTACATGTTAGTACTGGATCCTGTACAATGTTAGCCATGGCGCTGTGTACGTGTTAGTACTGGATCCTGTACAATGTTAGCCATGGCGCTGTGTACCTGTTAGTACTGGATCCTATACAATGTTAGCCATGGCGCTGTGTACATGTTAGTACTGGATCCTGTACAATGTTAGCCATGGCGCTGTGTACGTGTTAGTACTGGATCCTATACAATGTTAGCCATGGCGCGGTGTACGTGTTAGTACTGGATCCTATACAATGTTAGCCATGGCGCTGTGTACGTGTTAGTACTGGATCCTATACAATGTTAGCCATGGCGCTGTGTACGTGTTAGTACTGGATCCTATACAATGTTAGCAATGGCGCTGTGTACGTGTTAGTACTGGATCCTATACAATGTTAGCCATGGCGCTGTGTACATGTTAGTACTGGATCCTGTACAATGTTAGCCATGGCGCTGTGTACGTGTTAGTACTGGATCCTATACAATGTTAGCCATGGCGCGGTGTACGTGTTAGTACTGGATCCTATACAATGTTAGCCATGGCGCTGTGTACGTGTTAGTACTGGATCCTATACAATGTTAGCCATGGCGCTGTGTACGTGTTAGTACTGGATCCTGTACAATGTTAGCCATGGCGCTGTGTACGTGTTAGTACTGGATCCTATACAATGTTAGCCATGGCGCGGTGTACGTGTTAGTACTGGATCCTATACAATGTTAGCCATGGCCCTGTGTACGTGTTAGTACTGGATCCTGTACAATGTTAGCCATGGCGCTGTGTACGTGTTAGTACTGGATCCTATACAATGTTAGCCATGGCGCTGTGTACGTGTTAGTACTGGATCCTATACAATGTTAGCCATGGCGCTGTGTACGTGTTAGTACTGGATCCTGTACAATGTTAGCCATGGCGCTGTGTACGTGTTAGTACTGGATCCTATACAATGTTAGCCATGGCGCGGTGTACGTGTTAGTACTGGATCCTATACAATGTTAGCCATGGCGCTGTGTACGTGTTAGTACTGGACCCTGTACAATGTTAGCCATGACACTGTGTATATGTTAGTACTGGATCCTGTACAATGTTAGCCATGGCGCTGTGTACGTGTTAGTACTGGATCCTGTACAATGTTAGCCATGGCGCTGTGTACATGTTAGTACTGGATCCTATACAATCTAAGCCATGGCGCTGTGTACATGTTAGTACTGGATCCTATACAATGTTAGCCATGGCGCTGTGTACGTGTTAGTACTGGATCCTATACAATGTTAGCCATGGCGCTGTGTACATGTTAGTACTGGATCCTATACAATGTTAGCCATGGCGCTGTGTACATGTTCATACCGGATCCTATACAATGTTAGCCATGACGCTGTGTACATGTTCATACCGGATCCTATACAATGTTAGCCATGACGCTGTGTACATGTTAGTACTGGATCCTGTACAATGTTAGCCATGGCGCTGTGTACATGTTCATACCGGATCCTAGAAAATGTTAGCCGGGGCACCGGTAACATGTTATTACTGGCTTAATGGTATCTGTTTTCAAAAAGCTGTGGACTCTAACTCCCACCACTGTGTTAGTAATGGGAGTGAATGTCTTGTGCCCAAAAGGGTTAGAGGGAACACTCCCTTACCCCCACTCTAACACTGCATGTTAACATAAACTGTGCTATAATGATGCTCCCTCTTCAGAACAGAGCTTTTAACGTGTCCCTTTCATCCACATGGCTACTAAATTCTAGGAAAATCAAAAAATAGCTCTGTGTGCGGACACTAATCCTTTTGATGGATGTTATATATATTAAGAAGATAGAGTTTTCTAGACGATTTCCTTCAAGAAAGCTTGTTCGAAAATTATTTATAACGTGACTGATTACTGGCTTAAAGATGCTGGTTAATAAACATTTTACATGAATATAATTTCCTGTATATTACACTTACCTTTTTTGGTGCACTAAGGGGGAGAGGGGGCAGAGTAGATGAAATATTTATGTTTACGGAGGTTCTCTTTTAGCCACTTAAGCCAAAGACACACCTAGAGCAGCCTTGCATACCCTGCTGTCTCTCTCCACTAACCTCTTACAGGGGCTCCATCCATGATTTCGTACTTGGCGATCGTGTCGTTTTCATGGTAGACATTTGGCCCAGTGCCAGTCGTTTCTCTCTTGATGATATCAATTTCCATGTGTTTGATCTTGATCCGTACAAGGAGGAAATATATTTTCCCCACAATTACATCTTTGAGATGGTATCTAGAGGACAGGAGCAGACAAAGAGGAACTGAGATTACCAAAAGGTCTAGGCAGTCTCTCCTTTCCGAGACATCATTCTAAATCCTGACAACAGATCAGTGGAATCTTTAGCAAAGTTCCATGTTATTAGTTTTCTCAAAACAGGCAATTTTAGTGTTAAATTTTTTATTTAAAAAAGGACTTCTGCCATAAATCTCTGCCATAGCAAAATCACCTCAGTACTGTTTGCTAGAAGCTACACATGTTTAACTGCAAAGATGAGCTACATGCACCGGACAAAACCATTTTAACTTAACAAAAGAGATCAAACACACTTTTCTGAATTCTACAGTACATAAAGCTAACAGAAAACTGAAAACACTCAAATAAAATATTCACCATTTTGTTGGTTTAATATTTTTACTGGCAAAAGAAACAGACTAACAGAAGAAAAATACACAGACAGGGCGGATTAACAGAGCTGCACGCCAACATTCTAAAACGGAACAGTGTGCAGCCTATAGGAAGAAGGCAGGCCCAATGCCCCCATAGGTTGACCACGGTTCTGTTTATTTTCTTTGCCCCAGTGAGGAATGGAGAAGGGAAGCATCAATAGGAAATGTTTCAATCCTCAGGCTATTATTGTAAAGCTTGTTTCTCAGCTTGCATGTTCCCACCCATATATTTTATCTTCATCCAAAAAAAAGAAAAGAAAAGAATTTAAACAGCCAAACAGCAGATAATTTTGTGAGTGTAGCATAAGCAGTGATCGTATCTACCTGCGGCTTTTTTTAGACTTTTAGATTAGCGGTTAGCAAACAGTTTTTTAAAATAGGCATTTAAATGCTATGTGAAAATATCAGTGTGAGCCTGGTTAATCCACTAATCGATGGATACCTGCAGATTCGGTTACTCAGACTGACCACTGCTGTACAGAGCCCTTTAAATCTATTATTAAAACCACGACTGAACAGTCTCGCTCGGCTGCAGTTTTTGTGGGGTGCAGACTGCCCAGTGGAGTGTTTGAATAGATCCTGGCAGGGTCATCTAACCTGTCCCCAGTAGGAATGGACAGCTGCTAGGCTTTGCCACCTACCCTACCATTCTCTATATATTCGAGAACCAGGCTCATTCAGAATTACACTAAGTGTAATTCTTAAAATGGCCAGTAGATGGTGGCAACATAATATATCAGAATTAATAATAGCAGTGGGTTACCTTAGGGTTAGATTTAGCGGTACGAGTAAGGTTGAGTTACACTTAGTGTAGGGTTAGTATAAAGGGACACTAGTCACCAAAACACTTTTAGCTCAATGAAGCAGTTTTTGTGTATAAATCATGCCCCTGCAGTCTCACTGCTCAAATCTCTGCCATTTAGGAGTTAAATCACTTTTTTAAAGACCTAGTCCCACCTCCCTGCATGTGACTTACACAGCCTTCAAAACACTTCCGGTAAAGTCATCTAATGTTTACACTTCCTGTTTTGGAAATACTGTTTAATTTTGAATTTTTTACCTCCTGCTCTGTCAGTAGCTTTCTAGACAATGCAGGAACCTCCTGTATGTAATTAAAGTTCAATTTACAGAGCAGGAGATACAAACCCCTTCAGTTACTTACCAGTAACTTACTTACTTCTTCCTCCGCCGCTGCTCCTCCCAGTGATTGCGTCAGCCGGTGGGCGAGACTGATCCCGCCCACCGGGGAGACCTAATGCATTAGAGCTCCCCATAGGAAAGCATTGAAAATGCTTTCCTATGGGGAAACGAACGACGCTGGAGGTCCTCATACAGCGAGAGGACGTCCAGCGATGCTCTAGCACAGGTTTCCTGTGCTAGGGACATGGAAGTGCCCTCTAGTGGCTGTCTAATAGACAGCCACTAGAGGTGGAGTTAACCCTGCAAGGTAATTATTGCAGTTTATTAAAAAAACTGCAATAATTACACTTGCAGGGTTAAGAGTAGTCGGAGTTGGCACCCAGACCACTCCAATGGGCAGAAGTGGTCTGGGTGCCTGGAGTGTCCCTTTAAGAGGTTAAAATAATTTTTTTTTTAAAGCAATTATTTAAAAACTGATCACTTTTCTGGTGCTGTATAAATAATCTGTGGCTGGATGTCCTATTCATACCTACTTGGACTTGTTGTACTCAAACTCAATGTGCAAGCAATCCTCAATCCCCACTTCCATCTTGATTGAAGAATTGAGCTCGGGGTATGTACTCAGTGTGTGCACCACGATATCCATCTCTTTCACAACGTCATTTAGACGTCGGCTCAGCGTAGCGCGCAGGAAGTATCTGCACCAAGACAGGAGAACAAGAACATGTTATAGACACACTCGCCTCAAGCCGACAGGGTAACATGATCTGGTTTGGACACAGACAATGCACAGACTTTACATGTCACTATTTTACACCATAGTCTCACAATAACTTGAAAAAAAAAGCCTCAAGTTCAAACATTTTCTTGTACGAATTAATAATGGTTTTCTGGATTTGGAAAAACATTTTAACTTGATCTAGTCAGAAAAAAAACCAAAAAACTTAAAACAATTAAATTATTTGTTGATTTTTCTGTTGTGAAACCGCTGTCCAGCAAAGATTGTTTTTATGGTCTAAGTTGGTACACAAACAATTTTAACAGGGACTCAATTGGCACTAGTAGGGTGACCCATTCTAATATTTTAAAATGATGCCATCACTGACCCGTTAACAGTTATAATGAAATTAATTCAGCAAATCCCATGAATTGGCACCGTGGAGCCCATCACGGCTCTACGTTTGTGATTTCTACTCTTTCGGCAGATTGTGTTTTATGGTTTACACTATGTGCGTTTGTTTTACATTTTAGATTCCAGTTACTGTCATTACCCCATCTTCATGTGTACAAGTATAATCTGTGCACTCACTTTGGAGTGCACATATTCTATTTGGTGTTTTTGTTTAAGATTCCCCACGTGGTAGGGGAAACCCCTGTTTGTATGCATCTAAAACACGCTATTACAAGTAAAAGAAGCGCCTATACACTGCTGCATCAACTGTATGCAATGTTTTCTGAGAATAACCTCTAACTTGCCTTCAAATACCTGGACAGGCTCGCGATCTTTTGCAGGCAAACAATCCCATATTGTACAATTCCCAGAATCCATCCAGGTAAGACTGCATTACACAGAAGCACGCAACATACCGTAGCTTGACGTTCTGACCAGTGTACGACTCGTATGGCTTCTCCACATGAGTAAATTCAAAATCAAAGCTTTGAGTCTGCGAGATTTCGCCGGGGCGAGCCAAATCCTTCACCAGTGATACAAATTCATGGTGGTTCCCACGGTCATAGTACAGCTCTGCAATACCAAGCATAAAAAGAATGAAATAGCAAGGGGCCTTATGCAGAAAACAATTTATTCCATTAGCCTTTGCATGACAGATGACAACCCAGGATTTATCAAGCTCCTTTTCTTATTAGCGAGAACAACTGATTGTGTTTTACTTCCACAAAATACTACGTTCTACCATGCCATACCTTCAGTATGTACGGAAACAGCACAGACTGTGAGCTTAAAGCCTATCGGTGCCAGAGGGATAAGACAAACTATAAAATCAATTCAACATCCTTTAAACTACACGGGAGACTATCAATAGATAGGCTGTAACATTGCTATGCACAGAGTGCACTCGGACGTCAACATAAAATGGATGTTAAAATTCATAAACCTTTAAATTATAAGATCGTTTGAGCAGGGCCCTCTTTAAAATATGCTTGTATGTCTCATACACCCATTGTACAGTACTCAGGATTGTGTTGGTGCCTCATAAATAATAATTATAATAAAATGCATGCATTTTAAAAGGAACATCATAACCACTACAGCTAGGGCTGCTCACTGGCTAGCCTTGCATTGTGGTACTTAGCTCAGAAATGCTAATGGAACTTCCTGGTTTGGCCATCAGGAGATTGTAGTGGAAGTGACACCTGGCTCCCCACAGGTAGGAAGCCAAATCATTCTAAAACAGTTTAATGTCTAACAATGAAGGGGCTGCTAGGGCACTCCTGGAACTATAACCTGTACAGAGAGCAAGTTATTAAAAAGAAAAATATTCTGAAAATCTATTTTAAAATGCCAACTATAGACCGAAAATCGAACTCACCAAATAACTCTTACAATAAGCTTTAAAGGAACACAAACATGTATTCCTGACCCTATAGTGTTAAACCCACCATTTAGGTGGCTTGTCCCCCACTTAGCCCCTAAAAGCAATTAAAACTCACCTTATTTCCAGTGTCGCACGGGTCTGCTGGCGCTGGACCTGCCCCCTTGGTGACATCATCAGAATTGCAGATTTTTAGCCAATCCAATGCTTTCCCATGGCAAGGGGTGGAGCCAAATGACATTTTGGCCAATCATCACCTCCTCATAGAGTTGTATTGAATCAATGCATCTCTATGAGGAAAACGGCAGTGCTGCTTACTGTGCAGCACTGAGCCAGGAAGCACTTCCAGTGGCCATCTGAGGAGTGGCTACTTGGAGGTGTCCCTAGGGGCAATGTAAACACTGCATTTTCTTTGAAAAGGCAGTGTTTGCATGAAAATGCCTGAAGGCTCCTTCTAGCTGTTAATAACTACACATAACTGTTCAATCTCCATCTCTGTTTTTCAGGCCTCACTTCACACTCAAACTCAGTGAAGCTCTGCATTTTTTCCTCACCACTTCCCTCCCACCCAGGCTCCCCCTAAATACATCTCATGCTCCTCCAGCTGTTTGAGATTCTCACTCAATTACCTCTTCATTCCCTTTATATTCTACCAATAGCTGCTTCTCTCTGTTAACTCTTTCAGCCATCACCTCCAAATTTTCCCTGCTACTTCGTCTCAAATCCCCACGGTATCCTTTAAATTGTAAGCTCACAGGCCAACTAGCTAACCCTTTGTATAAAAGAGCAACAATGGGTAGATATCAGCGTACGGGCAGGGCTCTCTCTACCTCTTGTATTTGTCTGTGTATATTGTACGTTCTCCACTAATTGTACAGCGCTGCGGAATCTGTTGGCGCTGTATAAATACCAGTACTAAATAAATAAATAAATAAATCCAACAAACAATACTTCAGCAAATTGGGAAAAGAAGCATTTATGGCTGTGAATGGCTATGAGTTGTCAACGTATTTGTAGCTAGGCCAGAAAACCTATTCGCACAGTCTGCAGGCAAAACCTATGAACTGGATAAGACATCCCTCATCTCTGCTCTTGGAAAAGAGGTTCTGCAGTAGCATGAGATATCTGGGCTGAATTACTGAATTATTACAGATAAAAAGGGCTCTCCACCATGTGCCCACGTCTGATGGCCATTTAAAGCCAAGTCGGAGGGTTAAACAGCCGTTTCCTTTTTCCTCCTTTGATGTACAGTGCACATTTCCGTTTCCTAGCAATGTTTTTATATAGACTCTGCAAAAACAAAGGAGTTGTGCAACGCACTGCAATGTCACACCTTGTGGCACTTAGCGGGTTAAAGGGATACAAGCAGTTTAGCTTGCTGAAGTTCTTTATGGGTGAAGAGGGTGCCCCCACCCCCTTTTTACAAAAAGTGCAGATTTCAACAGAAATTTACACTTTTATAAATTAGCCTGGTAACCCCCCCACCCCTCCCCTCTTCCTGGACTGTCAGACAACCGGTCCCGTTACTTTCTGGTTTGGTTAGCTCAGTGGAGATAAACTCAAGAGGAACCTGCCTTGTAAAAACTTCTCATTAAGCTGCATTGGGAAGTCAGTGATTGGACGGTCACAGAAAGTCTGGGTGGGGTTAGAAGGGGAGGGCTGGCAAAGGCAGCAGACAAGATAGCTGCAGCTTTTGCAAGTTGGTTTTAAATATACCCCTTATGTAAAAATGTATTGTTAAATGCATGTTTTAGCTGTGGGTATATCTACTAAACAGTGATTTGTATATATTTTTGTTTTATTTGGGAAGTGGATTGTCTGTTTAAGTCGTTTAACTAGTTTTGCAATTCTAGGGAATTATATCAATAGATTATAAATTCACCAGAAACATTGCTTATTGCAAAGGCTTAGATCTGATGTAATGGATTGCATCACAGTGTAAAATAGAGGAACAGAAAGAGAGCAACAAGACATTTAATGTATAAAGGATACAGGTCAATGGTTTTTAATGTGTGATGAGCTAAGAATCTACTCCGACGTGCAGCAAACTATATTAATCCCATAAAGGAAATCAAATTACCTGCAGTGTTTTGGCCACCTCCTAAGGATTGCATGAAATGCACCAGCTTCACGGGTGAGCATTTTATGGCGAGTATTTTCATCTCCAGGAAGCATTGTACGGGTTATAGTGAAAGGGAGATCATAGTAACAGTCTATTTTATACACATCTCCCCAGAAAGGCTCCTTCTCATTAAGGCAGCCATGTCTCCCAGCTCCACTCACAAGATTGTCAGCTTAAGCAGCAGTTCCATTTGTTTATCTGATGAAGGGGACTCCTGCAAAGAGCTGACCTACATCAGTATTGGCAGAACTACTTCCTGAGTTGATGAAAACGCACTCATGAAATAAAACATTTGTTAAAAGATTTACAGAAAATGTATCCTTTTTTTTAGTTTAAGATATTGTGCATGGTTTAATGCATCCTATAGAATGTTAGTAATTGTCTTTAGTCTCCCTTTAAGATAAGTTAACGCTTTATTCGAATCAATGCATCTCTATGAGGAATGTTCAGTGTTTGCATGCAGAGGGTGGAGACACTGAATGGCAGTCACTGTGCAGCACTGCCCCAGGAAGCACCTCTAGTAGCCATCTGAGGAGTGGCCAGTGGAGGTATTCCTAGGCTGTAATGTAAACACTGCATTTTCTCTGAACCAAACAGTGTTTACAGCAAAAAAGCCTGAAGGTAATGATTCTACTCACCAGAACAAATTCAATAAGCTGTAGTTGTTCTGGTAACTGTGGTGTGTCCCTTTTACTCAAAATTCTAGCAAACTCAAAATCTAAAGTAGTGGAAAATTAAGGCAAAAATAACTGATCTGAATGTAGCAGTCTGTCTGTTTAATATTGTAATGGCTTCTAGGAGGACGGATTCAAAATGTGCGGGTTTCACAGTAACATGCTCATTCATGAATTAACTTTGTATCACCATGCCTTGCCAAAAAATAAGCAAATTAAAAACTCCTGGAAATGAAAGAGTTTAAAAAAATAAATAAAAATAAAGTATTATGAAAAGTCACAAATAACTTGGCATCCTGTTTTTACAAAAAAAAAAAGTTTTGATTCTCCCCTAGTGTTACGGAATGTTTTAATCACAGCTTGGTATACTGCGTTCCTTCTTGACACGTTTCTTGCTTGCTCTACAGTTTCTTGATGATTAGGGCATTAAATAAAAACAGAATTTAATATTTTTACAAAAATGTCTCTTAAAATGTTACAATTCTAATGTGTAGGTCACAATATTCACTGTTCTGGCGATTGCTTTCCTGCAGATTCTGTGAAAAACTGCCTTACACCTTCAGGATTATTCAACGGGAATTTCTAATTCGAGTTCACAATAAACAAATTGGAAAAATTCTCTAAGTCTGTTTTCAGTTCAGCTATTTGGGGCCTAAGATTCAGATTTCAAAGTGAATTTCTAGAAAATCCCACTTGAGTCGGTTAGCTACAGATAAGGTAGATCCACAGCCCTCGCGGACTACAAGTCCCATGATGCTCTTGTAGTGTTAAGTGTTGTAAGAGGATCTTGGGAATTGAAGCTCTCAAATAGGTAAGGCGCAATCTTTTGCGCACTCTTGGTTATCCCCAATAGTGTTTTTGAAACAATGCAGAAACGAAATGTCATGGTCAGTGGTGATAGTTGAGGCTAAAGCAGGGGTGGCCAAAAAAAAAAAAAAAGATTCCTTGCTATAGTTGAACGCGATTAGGCAGTCTTTGCTCTCAACACTGCTAAAGGCACAAAACTAAATTTGCGATTTGTATTTATAAAACAAAACAAAAAAAATATATAAAATACACTTTAATGTATGCATGGTGACTTTTGCAGCTTGTCTGACAACAGTGTTTTCTCAAAGTATTCCTGTAATCACCTAGCAGCCACTAACTACTAATTAATATAATTAGCAATTATTTGCACTGACAGGTAATGTAATAATGCAAAACATAAACAAATTATGCCAACACTCACAACGCCACATTCGAAATACTGGTTGTTTGATGACATACAGCAAGTAAACAAACCTCTTATCGCACAGATAAGAAACCATTCTCTTATCTGATTGGTTAAAAGTGTTTTGTTCTTTTTTATTGTTTGCATTAACCATAAGTTTGATTTTTCCTTTCCTTATAAAAATGTGTGTGATGCTAGCCCGTAACCATAGGAACTGTCTGAGCCAATCAGAGCATCCTATCACTGAAGGTCTTGGTGTGGTCCAAATCGTGGAAGTTAGTCTGCACGATTCTTGTGAAAGTGTCCATGTACAAACACCCAGAGTTTCTAATCAAAAATGCAGAGCGCAGAGTGTTGTAAAATATAAAAGCAATTTGAAGGAACAAAACAGCTTTTAAAATGAACCTCATTCGGGATCCCAAATTTAGCTCGGAACACTTTTGCAGTACATTTGATTTATACTCCCGCCAGGAAGCAGGAGGATTCTGCAATGTTATTAAAGGGATCCTATACTTGTTTTCCTGACACCATAGTTCCCTACAGAGCACCCCTCCCTTGCGCCCTCATTCCTGCAGTCCTGGAGTTCAGTCACTAACCTAAATCCAGTGCTGCTGTCCCTCAACACTGGGTCAGGCTCTGCCCAAGCCAGCTGGCGGGGGAGACATAATGTGCATGAAGCGACAATGGCCGCGCTCCCATTAGGATTTCCCCATAGGAAAGCATTAATCAATGCTTTTTCATGGGGAAAAATCTGACACTGGAGGTCTTCATGTAGAGCGTGAGGGCGTCCAGTGTCAGATACCAGACCAAAGGTCTCTGAACTGCAATGTTTAACTTTGCAGCACCAAGTGCAAAAGGGACAGCACCCAGACCACTTCGATGAGCTGAAGTGGTCTGGGTGCCTACAGTGTTCTGCAATGTTGTTAACAAGCTCTCATGAGACGGAGCCAAGCCGCCGCTGGCAATGGGTTACTAACACAGGAGACCTTGCACTGGCAGGGCAAACAAATTATAGGACCAGTTCACACACCACAACCACTTTATCTTCATTATGTAACCTGGTGCATTTTTTTTTTTAGTTTTAACCCTGCAATGTAAAACAAAAACGTTTACATCGCAGGCTAAAATCCACCTCAAGTGCCTGGCAGCAAGAAAAAGTAAAACTCAGAAGCTCGTATGAAAGCATTGAATTCAACTGATTGCTATGAGAATGACACAGAATGAGAAGCACAACGCTCGCTGCACATCAGGTCCCCAATGCTCCTTTATGAGAAGCGATGCCTGCATTGTCACTGTAAAAAAAATATGGGAGGTTAACTATAGCATTAGGGATTCAGGTTTGTAATTCATTCTTTCTTTTCAGTGAATTAGATTTTTATTTTGCAGGTCCTCGGCAACAGATGTTATAAGTAAAAGGTGAAACCAAGTGGGCTGCACTCACCTGAACATGCATTCATTAAAGGGTGCTGCTGGGGCCAATATCCACAATCCAACGCATTCGCTTATTCACTAAACAATGATTTTAAAGCTCACAGATTGTAATAGTTTTAATTAAAAACACCTCACCTAGGCAAAAAATAATGGGGGTTTAGTTACAGTATATGATGACGTAAGCCTGCCACAGCGTCCCCATTCTGGACAGGTCCTACCTATGGGGTACACTGACGTGGCAAGCTCTGTGAGCTTTAAAATCATTGTTTAGTGAATAAGCGAGTGCGCTGGATTGTGGATTTTGTATGTAAGTAAAAAGAACAGAATAGTGAGGAAAATAAAATACTTTTTTTTGTAAGCCACGCAGGGCAAAAATAGGGTGTCAGGTTTGCGTTTCTTACAGGGGTTGGTTTGCTGTGTAAAAACTAGTCATACATTTATACGACAGAAGGCAAGGGACCAAAAGGTAGATCCCCAGGTGTTTTAAAGCGCAATTCTGAATGCAATATAAAAGGTATCACATGAGTTGTATTTCTACAACATCTGATTATCTACCTTTTGGGCACCCTGCCAGAAGGACTCAATAATAGATTAAGTATAGCAATGTGCATTAAAATATGTTAATTTACAAACTTGTATTTTTTATAAAGGTATGTAAGAAACACGCCCGATCACCATATTTCTAGGGAGATATAACGAGCAGATACAGACTATACTGGGGTAAATAAGGGGATACCACAAACTGTTCTAAGTAGGGAAGTATAATATGCCACAGGGTTTTAATAAGAGTCCAGGGCAATATATTAAATTGGGGGCATCCTAACTCCATAGCTTATTTACAAAACAGCGCAGGGATTAGTCATATTACAGCAATTTCAATAGTACATTACGGTACCAAAACAAATACAAACGTACAAAGCTGTGGTGAGTCACACACCATGACAATTTCCATATCTTTCTCCATGTTCTACAAATAGGGAAAATTCATTTACAATTTCCTGTTTAGGAAAGCAGACCTTTTCTAACGATGCCTTTCAGATTCATTCACTAAACAAGGAGTTAAGAACTGACAGAGCCAAACTGGTAAAAACAACCTGGTCTGTGAACTTTTAAAATGCTGCAATTCTGGCCTAACATCTACAAACTCCAGTTTATTGACTAAGCCTTGTCTTTATGTGAAGACTGATCATCAGAAAAGTAAAATGTCAGAAATTAAAATTTCAGCCACCGTATCCACTGTTTGGACTATAGTACATCGCACTTACCGCACCTATTCACATCACCCCGTGTCTAATGAAAAATACAATATGTCCACTGACATCTGAAACCACGGAGATCATCAATGCAATCTTAAAATACGCCCTAACTCCCACTCACAGATGCCAATTCGGTCCTTACTCCAGCTTCTAATCCTTTGTATAAGTCATTAACCTGTATGATGGGGGCAATGGGAAGGGCAGATCTCCAATAAACCCACTCCAGATAACAAAACTACAGTTCCCTCCGCCGTACAGATATATTTACCCAACCTCCAGCTGCCACTAACCCCAGGCGACAGGACTGGAAAACCTGATATACCTTGACTACCTGACAAATATACCCTTATCTGGGTATAAACCCACCTACAAATCAACCAGACAGAACTGCCCTTATCCCAACCCCAGGTGACATAATTACCCTTTCAGTATCACATGTTGACAGATATGATATGTCCTAACCCCTACCGCCACCTGTCAGATCTACCTTTACATCTACCGCCACCTGTCAGATCTACCTTTACATCTACCGCCACCTGTCAGATCTACCTTTACATCTACCGCCACCTGTCAGATCTACCTTTACATCTACCGCCACCTGTCAGATCTACCTTTAGATCTAGCCTCAGTTTTACCCCGACCTGTTAGATCTACCTTTAAACCTACTCCCAGATCTACCCTCATCTGTCAGGTTTGCCCCTACTGTTAAAATCTACCCCCAATTGTCAGATTTGCCCCCAGGCGGCCCAGATTTGCCCCCAGGCGGCCCAGATTTGCCCCCAGGCGGACCAGATTTGCCCCCAGGCGGACCAGATTTGCCCCCAGGCGGACCAGATTTGCCCCCAGGCGGCCCAGATTTGCCCCCAGGCGGCCCAGATTTGCCCCAGGTAGCCGAGACTTGCCCCAGGTGGCCCAGATTTGCCCCCAGGTAGCCCAGATTTGCCCCAGGTAGCCAAGACTTGCCCCAGGTAGCCCAGATTTGCCCCAGGTGGCCCAGATTTGCCCCCAGGTGGCCCAGATTTGCCCCCAGGTAGCCCAGACTTGCCCCAGGTAGCCCAGACTTGCCCGAGGTAGCCCAGATTTGCCCCCAGGTAGCCCAGACTTGCCCCAGATTTGCCCCAGGTGGCCCAGATTTGCCCCCAGGTAGCCCAGATTTGCCCCTAGGTAGC